TTCTGTCCTCCCCGGGCATTACATGACACGGGTGTACTTACCTACATGCAGGCAATACACACACAGCAGGCAATACACTCATACACATAAAATAAAATAAAAATAATAAAATATTAAAATTTTTACATAATTATTTGTGTATGTGTGTAGGTACATGTGTGCCACATTGTACCTGTGGAAATCAGAGAACAATGGGGGAGTCTTTTTCTCCTTCTATCATGTAGGTTCCAAGATTAAACTCAGGTGGTTTGGCTTGGTGCAAGTATAGCCTTAACCTGCTGAGTCATCTCGATGGCTCAGGCAAAGAGTGGAATTTGTAAAGCCTAAAAACATGCATGGGGCCAGGCATGGTAGCACACACCTTTAGTGCCAGCACTCTGGAGGCAGAGGCAGGCAGATCTCCGAGTTCAAGGCCAGCCTGATCTACACAGTGAGTTCCAGGCCAGCTGGGGCTACAGGGAGACCCTATCTCAAAAAGACCAAAAAAAAAACAAAAAGCAGACAAGTACTACTGAGAGAGCTAGAGGCTATCCAGCATAGATTGCTGCCTGGCCTCATGCTCGGCTCATCTTGTCACAGGCTGTGTAACCTTAGATAAGCCATTTGATTGCCCATCTGTCAAATGGAGAGAATAGTAGTACTTCTTTCAGATGTACGATCAGGAATTTCCTTAGACTAGCCTGTAGTGTATAAAGAGTTCTGAGGGGAGCTATCCAGACCAGCTATCTCCTCTTTGAAGCCCTGCTCCCACTCCTGAACTCCAGGTGGGCTTGGCTTGGGGTGAGGTGTCTGGATGTGTTATAGAGCTAGCCTTTGATTATGCCATCTCACCCCTGGATCCTTTTAATCCTATCACCCAGCTTTCATCAGCTCAGGTTGAGAAGCCTCACTGGAGGCCAAGGAGGAGAGTTTGAGAGAGAAGGCTCTGGAGACAGAAGGCATGGTAGAGAGGGTCATTATGGGTGATGTTGAGGAGGCCCAGGGCACAGTGGTGGTGAGGAGGGAAACGAGTTGTAAACCTTCTTCTGAGGTTGGGGGATGTTGAGCAGGCAGTTCCCTCAGAAACCCTCCCTCACAGGTATTTGGCCTTGGTTCCGTGGCTCACATGGTTCTAGGAGATAAAAAGTTCGGGAGCTATCTCGGTGTCAACTTGGGTTTTGGCTTCGGAGTCGCCATGGGAGTACACGTGGCAGGTGGCATCTCTGGTGAGTGAGCCCATACCTGGCCCATAACCAAGGCCAGGTGTTCCTGGTGGGCTGTTTCCTGCCCTTTCTCTGGCACAGCTGGTACCTCAACTTTAGGGAGGAGAACACTTCTGAAGCCCTTGTCTCTGCCTCTGTCTTCCCCATAGTCTTCATAGGCACTTTGAGTCATCAGTTTGATTAGCTGGGTCATGTTAGCAAAGGACTCTTTCTCTTTCCTTACTTTCCTTATGAGCAGAAGAGAGAGCCCTTGTTCCAGAGACACATCCATAAACATTAGCCTCCTCTGTTTATTGTTGTTGTTGCTGTCACTACTACTCACTTTGTTGTTTCTGCTTTCACTCCCCTACCACTCCCACTCCTCTGCACGACAGGGGCCCATATGAATGCAGCAGTGACTTTCTCCAACTGTGCGCTAGGCCGCATGCCCTGGAAGAAGTTTCCTGTCTATGTGCTGGGCCAATTCCTGGGCTCCTTCTCAGCAGCTGCCTCTACCTATTTACTCTTCTACAGTGAGTGTTCTTCCTGGGTGCTCTGCTTCCAGCCTCTTTCTCTGAAATACTGGAAGATTCAATCTTGGTATCCTATTCTGCAAAACAAATAGAACAGCTTGTCAGGTGTGAGGCATATACCCATAATTCCTGCACAAGGGAGGCTGAGGCAGGAGGATTGCTGCAAGTTTGTGACCAGCCCAAGACTATATAGCAATTACCAGGTTAGCCAGGGTTACACAACAAAACTATCTCAAAATCCATAAAAAAAAGCTGAGTGTGGTGATGCTTACTTATAATCTCAGTAACATGGGAGGTGGAGGATAAGGAACCCAAGACCAGCCTTGGATACATGAGACCCTGTGTCAAATTTTAATAAAGCCTAGCAGAGTAAAGCATTGAGGTGTTCCCAGCTGTCTACCCTACAACCTCCTTTCCAGAACCCCAGTTTTTAGCTCAGTCTTTGTCTCCACAGGGGCCATTGACCAGTTCTCAGGTGGAGAGCTATTGGTGACCGGTCCCACGTCCACTGCAAACATTTTTGCCACCTACCTTCCCGAACACATGACTCTGTGGTGGGGCTTCCTTGATGAGGTCAGTGATCCAGAGTATCCCACCCCAAGTCCCTCATGATAAAGAGGACAAGAGAATTCTGGATGGGGACCGTGCCAAGATGTCTCTGTCACTGTAGATTTGGGGTCCTGCTGAGCACCTGTGACTTGGCCAGGTCCCCAGTGGGCTACCATGGCATTTATTCCTCAGGTGTTCTTGACGGGGATGCTCCAGTTGTGTATCTTCGCCATCACGGATAAAAGGAACAGTCCAGCACTTAAGGGGACTGAGGCTCTGGTGATAGGTGTCCTTGTTTGTGTCATTGGGATATCCCTAGGCATGAACTCAGGATATGCTATCAATCCATCCCGGGACCTGCCTCCCCGCTTCTTCACCTTCATTGCTGGCTGGGGTCAACAAGTGTTCAGGTATCACCCCCACCAGACCCCATTCCCATGAGCTTCTGTGTGGTCCTGCATGCAATGTAAGGGGCAGTACTCAGGGAGTACACAGAGTCCCGTGGAACCTCCAGGTGGCCCAGGGAGCAGGAGTGGGTGCAAAAGTCCTGCAGATGCAGGTCCTGCTGTGAGACTGTCAATCCTGTCACTAAATCGGGCTGAGGCTAGTTAGGCTCCAGGTGAGCATTCTTTGAGGTATATGAGTGGCTTCGCTGCTTACCCTGTTTTGGTCTGAGTTGGATGCAAGTGCTGTCCTGGGCATCAGTCCCCTCAGCAGGCCCCCTTCTTTTTGCCCACAGAGCCGGGGACAACTGGTGGTGGGTGCCAGTGGTGGCACCCCTTCTGGGTGCCTACTTAGGTGGCATCGTGTACCTGGTCTTCATTCACTCCAGCATACCACGGGATCCTCAGAGACTGGAAAATTCTTTGACAGAAGACCACAAGATAACTGTATCGACCAAGGACCCTCCTGCCCCTGTCTCCATGACCCCTGCTTCAACCCAACTTGCTCCACCCTTAAGTGGCTCCATACCTCTAGAGCACTTCTAAATAGATTTTATCTGTGACCACAGCCCTACAGCAATAAACCACATCTTGTCCCCAGTGGCCCTCCCCTGGGACTTCCTTCTGTTGGGCTTCCCTGCTGGGTTCTTCTGAGAGCACCAGGATTATTTTGCTTGGAACATGCTATGCAGACCAGCTGGTCTTGAACTTACGGAAATTCTCCTGCCTCAGTCTCCTGAATATGGGATTATAGGCATGTATCACCCTGCCTAGTACACTGTAGGATTGTTCTTCTGGGTTCTTTTGTAACATTCAACACTGGAGCACAAGGCCAAAAGGCCTCATTTTTTCCAGCTCTGGGAGCTGGGGTGCCCCTGGGGAAATGTCAAACTTGCAGCCTCAGGGTGAGATAAAGAATACCAGGTAGAGATAGGTGGACTTTCAGGCACTGGTGGGGAGGTGTTGAGGGAAGAATCAGAGGGAGCAGGTAGGGGCCAGCTTTGGAAAGACTTTGAGGGTACCCTGGAATGGGACTGTAGACTCTCCTGGCTTCTCCCTTCCTGGCTGGCCCAGAACTTGTTAAGTAGACCAGGCTGGTCTCAAACTCACATAGATCCACCAGCTTCTGTCTCATAAGTGCTGGAATTAAAGGTGTGGACCACTCATACCCATCTCCTCCAGTTGAACCAGAGAAGACAAGGCTAAGTGCTTCCATCAGAATTCAACCTTTTTCATTAATACCCTCTTCAGTGGCCTTTTAGATATTTTCTCTCTTTCTCTCTTCCCTCTTTCTTTTCCCTCTCTAATTTTCCCTTTTCCCTTTGCTTTCCCCGCCCTCCCTCTCCCTGGAGACAGGGTATTTTGTAGCCTAGGTTGCTGGCCTTGAATAGCACCCTCTATGTAACCAAAGCTGGTCTTGAACTCTTGATCCTCCTGCCTCTACGTCCTGAATGGTGAGATTATAGACATGCAGCACATTACCATATCACCCAATTTATGTGGAGCTGGAGATCAAACCCAGGACCCAGGGCCTCTTGCATGCTAGGTACACCCCCAGTCCTGATTTTTCCTTAATTATAGATTTTAATACCACATGTACACTGTGTATCTGTTGATGTGTTTTTTTGTTTGTTTGTTTTTTGTCTTTTTGAGACAGGGTCTCTTTGTAGCCGCAGCTGTCCTGGAACTCACTAGGTGGAACAGGCTGGCTTCAAACTCACAAAGATCCGCCTGCCTCTGCCTCCCAAGTGCTGGGATTAAAGGTGTGTGCCACCACACCCGGCCCTGTTGATATATTTTATCTGTATTTTATACATATGCTTTAAAAGACATTTCTACAGTCAATTTTTTATTTCCTTGTGATTGGTTGGTAAAACTGAAAACTTTTAAGGGGTTGGCCTCCCTGATTTCCTCCTTCCTGACATCAGAAGAAATTAATCCCAGAGTTGGGAAGGAGGAAACAGAAATCCTTCAAACAGGTGGAGAGATAAGAAAAAGCCTCATGGGCTAGAGGGCAGCAGGCTCAAAGGACCAACTGCTTCAGGGTAGGGGGTGGTCAGGCAGGACTCTGAAGACAGCATCCCCTTCTGTCCTGTCTGCTTCTGTCATTAGTTTCCACAATTACTGAGCACTTACTGTGTGCAGTCTGTGCTTGAGCCCTGGGGATGCATGATGGATGAGGCTGGGACTCTGCCTTTGAGGAGTATAGTCTAGAGGGGAATGCATCCTTGCTGGGAAGGAGTTAAGTGGTGGAGAGAGGGATGCTTGGAGGTTGCAGGCCTCAGAGGGAGGATCACAGCTGAGGCAAGGGATTAAGTCCCTAGGAGAGAAGACATAGCAGAGTATGGTTAAAGGTGGGCTGAGAGGCACACTTTACAGTGTGAGGGGAAGAGGGAGCCTGGACTTCCTTCTAGAAATTGAGGACGAGGAGACATGAATCTTTTAATTTTTAAAAATTTATTTATTTATTTATTTACTATTTATTTATTTATTTATTATTTGTATGAGTGTATTGCCTGCAGGTAGGTAGGTGTGCCCATGTCCTGCAAAGCCTGCAGAGGTCAGAAGAGGGCATTGGATCCCCTGAAGCTGGAGTTATGGATGGTTGTTAGCCACTATCTGGGTGCTGGGAATTGAGCCGGGGTCCTCTGCAAGAGCAGTCAATGCTCTTAACTGCTGAGCCAATTGTCCAGCCCAAGGAGAGATGCTTTTAAAATCCCTTCTGAGCTGCAGTGTTGCAAGGAGGCTGGAGCCGGACCTACAGAGAATGTGGTGAGGCAACATGCTGGGAGCAGCAGGTGCCTAAGGGTCAGTACCGTAGGCCCGGAGATGGGTTTGATAAATCACACAGTACCACTGGCAGGGCTTGGACTCTGTTTGCATGAAGGAGAGGGAAGAAGGAAGAAGAGCAGGGATGATTTCCAGTTTCTGGCTTTGGTGTGGGGCATGGGGATCTTGATGGAGAGCAAAAGAGGAGAGAGGAGCTGGCTTGGAGAGGAAGATGGTAAGTTATATCACAGAGCTGTTGAGTTTGTGTCCTTATGAATTTTAGGATGGCTGAGAAGCGTGTTCTTCAGCAAATCGCTCAACCTCTCTGGGCCTTGATCTTCTCATTTTATTTATTTTTTTTAATTTTTAAAAATATTATTTTTATTTTATGTGTATGAGTGTATTGTCTGCATGTAAGTGAATGCGCCCGTGTCATGCAATGCTGAGGAAGTCAGAAGAGGGCTTTGAATTCCCCTGGAACTCGAGTTAAGGACAGTTTGTAGCCACCATGTGGGTGCTGGGAATCGAACCCGGGTCCTCTGCAAGAGCAGTCAGTGCTCTTAACTGCTGAGCCATCTCTCCAGCCCCGGTCTTCTCATTTTATTATTTATTATTTATTTTATTTACTTTTTGGTCTCATTTTAAAGTGAGGACAATAACACTGTGTGCCATTTGTGTTGCTGTGAACGCTAAGTATGGTGAAATTTGTAAAATGTGTCGGGGCGATAGGCCAGGCATGATGGCACACGCCTTTAATCCCAGCACTCAGGAGGCAGAGGCAGGCAGATCTCTGTGAGTTCAAGGCCAGCCTGGTCTTCATAGTGAGTTCCAGGCCAGCTGGGGCTACAGGGAGACCCTGTCTCAAAAACAAACAAAAACAAAACCCCCAAAACAATAAAAAAAAATTGTAAAATCCTAAGATGAGTGCCTGGCTCAGTAAGTGCTCAGTAAACCTTGTAGTTAAGCCTTTTGTGTGGCCTGGAGCTCAGAAGAGAGCTGAAGGCAGACACAGAAGCCACGGCACTGTAGATGCAGCTGGGCCATGGGAGAGTGAAAGGAGGTGAGGGAGCAGGGCACAGGTAGGTGTTGCTCGACAGGGGTACAAAAACAGACACTGATATACAATCCCATATTCAGCAGTGAAAATTAAGGCACAGTAGGTACGTGCAACAATAAAGAAACATTTTGGATGCATAGCAAGCAACACAGGGAGATGTGGCTCAGTTGGTAGAGGGCTTGCCTAGCATGCATGAAGCCCTGGGTTTGCGCCTCAGCACATTATAAAACCGAGTGTAGTGGTGTACATTATAATCTCAGCACATGGGAGACTCAGGCAGAAGGACTGACATGAGTTTGAGGCCAGTTTGGGCTACAGAGTGAGACTCTCTGTCTCAAAAAACAAAATAACAAAAAACCAGCAATACGGTACACTCCGTTATGATACCACTGGTTTTTATTGTTTGTGGTTTTTTTGTTTTTGTTTTTTCTGAGACAAGATCTCCTGTAGCCCCAGCTGGGGTGGATTCACTATGTAGACCAGGCTGGCTTTGAACTCACAGAGATCCTCCTGCCTCTGCCTCCCAAATGCTGGGACTAAAGGTATGTGCCACCATGCCTGGTTGACAATACTATTTTTTTTTTTTCTGGTCTTTTTGAGACAGGGTCTCCCTGTAGCCCGAGCTGTCCCAGAACTCACTAAGTAGACCGGGCTGGCCTTGAACTCACAGAGATCTGCCTGCCTCTGCCTCCCGAGTACTGGGACTACAGGTGTGCGCCACCACACCCGATTTATACAGAACATCTTAATCATCTTCCCCATTGGCTCCATCCTATAGCATCCCCCCACTTGAATTCATATATTCTGTCATTTGTGTTAAGGCCTATCAAGTTAGTGTTCCCAGATGTCCCTCAGTTCAAGTTCATCCACTGAGGCCTAGTCAGTATATCTAGAGTCCCCCCAAGATACAAGATAAAAGCGCCACTACTGTGCCAACGTTATTTGCAGTGCTGGCCATTGATGTGGTTTTTAGGCCTTGAGGCTGGGGTTGGATCGATGATTGATGTTCTCCCTTCCCGGCTTGTACAGTGCTCTCCAAAGCTATGAGAGCTAGTCTTCAGGGGAAGTAGCTTCCAGGTCAGTTCCAGCTCAGTTACTCTGAATCCTGTGTCCAAAGTATGTCCTGTCTTCAGCAATAGGGTCTTGCCCTCAAGTTCTGGGAGGCAATCAAGGACTGTGGCAATAGCCTGTGTAATCTTGGGAGTCTCTTAGATTACCCTGGCCAACAACTCAAAGGAAGGTTTCTCCTGTCTGGCACTGTTTCTTGTTGTGTCGTCTGCAGCTATACACATGGTCTCATGTAGAGATACTGTATGTGTAATTTTTCAATATGTTTTGGAATAATATAATTCCCTCTGTTTTTTTTTACACTAGCTAGACATTATATCTCTCCTCTCTCTCTTCCTGTCTTATCCTCCCTCCTTGCCTTCCCCATTTAAAATGTTCCCATTTTCCCCATTTCTTCCTTGATAATTCCTGTCTGCTATGGTCCCACCTCTCTTGAGCTCCTGTCCCTTTATCCCCAAAGCTCCTTATATAATCCTCCCTCTTCCTTCCCATTTAACTACGCCCATTTTACTCATTTCTGCCTTAGTAACACCTGTCTCCTATTGTTCTTCTCTCTCAGGTTCCTTCTATCCCTTTACCTCCCTGGTTCTCTTCCATTTTTCTGGCTCCTGCAGTTACATCAGGATATGTATTCACATATAAGGATTTGGTGCTAGGATCCACAAATGAGGGAGAACATATGTCTTTTGTTTTTCTGAGTCTGTGT